TTAGATGTTGATGAATGTGGTGATGGAAGAGTGTAGCCCGTTTGCAGTGTGCAACAATACCGAGGGATCACATGATTGTATCTGTAAACCTGGATACCACGGAAATGGAAATAATTGTAGTAGAGTTAATAATAAATTTATTTCATTCCATTTTTGCATTACTTTACTCGCCTGATAACTTTGCTGAAAAACTATTAAAAAGAAAAGCTAATGATTCCTGCCAGAAAATTATTTGGTATGGTGGTTGGTATACATAACGTACTCCGTACTCAATCAGAAAACATTTACTACACATCTCGACTTTGGAGAGACAAAAATGCCTACAACCTTCCAGGGTGCATGACTGGGTCTGACTCACAAGAGACCAAGTTACCGACCTACAGGAAGACACTCTGTCTCGGTATGAGGATAGGAAAAAACGTTAGCTTCATTGTGATTTAAAAGCCAGCGAAATCTCTCTACTCTCTGATTGCTGACGGACAGCATCGCAACACCTCACTTGGTCGTAACGGGTGGAAGAGGCTTATTGATTCAGAGGCTTCTTTACAGCTTAAATGTAACAAGGAGGGTTTTAATCATAAAAGCTGGCTTAGTAGAGTAAGACTTGGAATACTTGGTAAACAATGAAGACGAGTGCAATAGTTGTGATTCCAGGATCGAATTTGATACAGATGGGTATCCCGATGACACAAACACTTGCGGAAACGTTGCTCGACATAAAGCTGATAATGATGATAAAAACATCAAAACCATGGGCTACATATTGGTTAGGTTAAAGACAACCATGAATTTTAACTTAAGTCGGGCATGTATCCTCAAGACATCAAAGCACAGGGTACCTTTTTTTGCGATGTACATTACGCAGCATTAATGCAAACACCGTGAGGAGAAAAATAAATCATCATGTAATATATTTCTAAAGATTAGGTAAAACTGGTTTTAACAGATCGTTGCTGCGATGTGTTTTCCATATCAGTAGTAAAAGGATGATTAAAAAAAATATATATATATATTTACGTACGACATATATACCTATATGAAATTTGAGCAAGTAGCTGTAAAATCTGGTGCTTTTCATCCAGTCCTTTCTGAAAACCATTGTCATGTATGTGTTAACTTCGAAGCAAAGGGTATTTGCACGCCACTTTTGTTCTTAGGGGATCTCTATTATTTAAAAAGTTTAATAGTTGAAAAAGGGTAAAAGGAACGCACGTTATCTTCAGCATATTATAGAATGTACCACGTCGCCCAAAAAATAAACAAAAAGTCAGGTGGCCATGTGTGAATAAGAAAAAATTGGATAAAAATGAATCCAAAAAAAAAGAAAAATTGAGGCAATGAAAGAGCAACATTAGTCATGCGGCCTGTTCAACATCCACCCAGGCCGTTTGACACTTTTCATCCTTGGTTTTTAACTACTGTGTTGTTTAAGTTAATATGTATACTGTTTTTAATATTCTGTGCGTTTGTTGTGAGGTATAACCGTTGAATTAGAGACGGGTATTTTGTTCTGTTTTGCTTGTCTGCGAAGGGTTTGACGTACATTTATTAGTTCGTCGAAAGAGTTTGAAGGGGCAATATGGAAACTGTCAGTTTGATCGTTAATTTTTGATCATAAACTAGTTGATCAAAAGGAGCCGTCGAAATGGGAAAGTATGTTAGATTGTGGTTCACTGGATTAGCTGTCCTTCCAATCTTTTCCGAAAAATTAATTTTATTAAATATTTGCTAAACATCTTAGACAATATTATTTTTTTCATGGAAATTACAACACAAAACTGTCGGCAATAGTGGTTCAAAGGGTGGGAGGATGCGGTAAAACGGTGAAACAAACACAGACACGTTCAATTTTCTACCGTACTGTGTGACTGAAAAGAGTTGTCTCCCTGACTTTATGACATGTCTTTCCTTTGGATCTACTTTTTTTTCCTGATGATACTCAGGGCTGTCAGGTCTAACGGTTAGTAATTTCAGTATGTATACTAGTTTCTAAAGGTAACATACGCATAGATGGAGAGAATGGTGTCTTATTTTGTGGAATAGAAGGTTAGCGGATAGTGTAACGGTTCCATAGAGAGTGATAATAAGAAAATACATATATTTTTAAGTCAAAGTTGATTTTAGATTAAAGAAATTTCCGCGGACTTCAAGCCACACACATTGGTGGTCGCGTGTATCATGAGAATTGATCGATATCAAGAATATTGCTGCTTTTTTGCGCTAAGTGCATATGGCATTAAATAACTAATTCGCCCGCGGTTTAAATACTGAGTAAGCATTTGCGTTGTCATTAGATGGTTTCTTTTTGGGTTTCCTTTAAAAATTCTTCATTGTTGAAAGCGGTTTGTCGACATCGATGGGAATAAATGCGAGTAACGAGCATCCATATGTTCCGACATGTATTCGAGAATAAGCCGTAATGTAATAAAGAACGTCGGTGGAAAATGTCGTTTGAGATCAGAAGAGTGAAAAGACAATAGACTTCTTATCTTGTCTCACAAATCTTGCCGTCTGGAAAATCAGATGCCATCTTTACGGTACATGACCTTCAGCGGCGTTCGGTCACTCATCTCTCAAAGGATTCAAATTCATCTCGGTTTTTGTCTTTTGTTTGTTCTTTTTACCAGAGGATGAAAAACTTTGTCAATATCAGTGCGCAACAAACGCAAACCAAGACCCTGTTCTAAAGCCGCGGTTACACGAGCGATTTTTTTGTTTGCGATGGTGATGCGATTTTGTCAGTTTCACGGAACGAGTTTAATTCAAACAAGTTTCATTCGTGACAATTCACACAAATTTCATTTGGTTTCATCACTCTTTGTTAGTCTCTCAGTTGCGACATTCTGTATCTTGACCGACCCTCCCTGAGTAGCAAGTGACCTTCAACAGAAAGTAACTCCCTACTCCTCCCCAGGGAAAGATTTGACATAAACGCGCTTTCGCTAAATATTCAAATCTCGCGCTCGTGCAGTAATCGGCTATGTTTGAATTTCCCTCGTGAATTTCGCTATTGTAATGGAAGCGAGTTTGAATTTCCCCCGTGAATTAATAAGCCATTGTTTGGCTCTAAAGCTATTGCTTCAAGATATCTTTTTATGGATAGTTGGGATACTAAACAAAGGGCATTGTCTTTGAATTTGATCAGCTGTTCTTGATACGATATAGAATATGTGAACTCCTATCGACGCTTTATCACCAGCTAATTTGAACCATATGAAATTGGTTGTGAATGATGCGAGTTTTCTTCAAGTTTACATAGACACATTGCACGTTGGGATGAAGATAGTTCATTGTGGGTATATATATATATTTTTTTTTTTTTTAATAGAAAGGAAAAATGTATCCCATCTGAATGATATCATTATCTCATTGTATCTTTAAATCTCAATTTCAATGTATATTCCTTGATAAAAAATATCAGAAACATTAAACCTAAATAATAGCATTCATCACAAATGCCATGACGCATGATCTATCTATATCGACAGCAGCAAAAGATTTGGAACACAAGGATATGGATGCAGCTTTATGTCAGAATTCCCGACGGAGACTGTTCTCGGTAGACGAGTTTCAGTACCTGAATGTTCCTCACATTGAATTAATCATGGTTTACGACGACTTTGAGTGTATCTTCAAATGCCTCTACCACCCCTCATGCATTTCTTTTAACTTGGCAGCCAAAGGAAAACTGTGGTGTGAGTTATTATCGTCTGATAAGTACAGCAAGCCCATGGAGTACAAACAAAACAAAAGTTCACATCATTATTTCATTAGGGTAAGGAATTGTTTGTATGGTCAGGTACCGTTTCGCCTTAAATTATCTCACAAAAATTTTCTCTGCTTGTTTTATTAGTCGTCTTATTATTTCAAGACATTTCAAAGCGGTGGAGTTTGCGTTCAGTCGATGCACTCCGTATATGCTTTTAAATTTTTCTGTGAAGATCTGGAGGGAAAATTTAGTGAAAAAGGTAGGTTAAAATTTTGTTTTCTTAATCTTCATTTTCATTGTTATTGTTTCTTTTTATCATCAGTGGCTTTGTTTCTACTTTTCTTTAAAGCTGATAATGTGATGGTGTAGTTTGATCGTCCAGATGAGCGTATTCCTGAGAAGGACTTTTGACTTTAGCAATGACTGTAGGAGTAGTCACTACCGACAACAGTCCATGTCATAACCCAAGGTCGCACCATTTACCGTAAAGCTAAAATTTTGTTTTGTCAAATCATTTTCAAAGAAGAAAAAAGGCACAAATAGCATATTTCAGAGGGAAAAAAAGTCTATGTATTATTTTCCTCGTATTTTTCATTGTTATCATAATTGGTATCATGATTAGCTTCATTATCACCTGTTTTAAGGATAAAAGTGTAATAGGCTTTCCCCTTGACGTCACTTGGCAGCTTTTGAGACTTGTTTCTAACGTGACAACTTAATCTCCATAAAGAAATAAGACTGGAAAATGACAAAAGCCAGAATCCTCTTCTTCCTTTATCAGTAGCATACTTCAGACAAACGTGGAGCAGTTAGAAATGTTGATTTTCATAGAAATTAGTCTTCGCACGTTATGAATAACTTCTTTGAATACTTCATTACCTCGCAGCAAGTCGGCATGAATGGAATAGCTATAACAGTGAGGGTAATCAACGTTTTTATTCATTGTGTAAACAATAAGTAGGCGAGAGCCAAGTCTGTCAAAAATCGTTCAGATTAAAAGAAATCTACAGCAAACATGTATTCAAATTAAACCACTCCGTATGTTTTTTGACATTCTAAACTTGAGTAGCGGAAATGAACCTAAATATCTTGTTCAACCCAGCAATTTTAATTTCAAGAGTAAGTTTTCAATTTTTTTTTCTTTTTTTATCATTAAGAATTTATGACACAGGAGAAAGACACCTGGCCGCTCCTCCATCTTGAGCCAAAATAAACTCAGTTAATTCACAATGACATAAGATCCAGTTTGTTGCATTTACCGTTAAGAGGCTTTCAGCATTGAAAGATTTAATGTTCTGCTTGCAGTGGCGTCGTGTCATGTATTCTTTTTGCATCCGTTGCATTTTACTATTTTTTTGTTCCGCACTGAATAGTGTCCTCTCTTCAGAAGGTTAGTAACTTTAATTTGACCCACCCCGACTATTTCATCTTGTTACGTGTCATGATTTGGAAGGTGATGCAATGAAGGATGCGATGCAAGTAGCAAGTTTTTATATCAGTTTTGGTCTCGCGACGAACTGGAAGTAGATTCTAAGCTTGTGCATTTCAATCCGAAATTTAGGGCATTTACTCAAAAAAGATTCTTAAATAAGAAATTATTGAGGTATATTCAAAGTTCTAAAATTAGCTATTTTTCTTGAACTTTTTTGAGGACAGCCCTAAAGGAACAACCCAAATCAGTTATCTTCCTTTCACTTCTCTTTTACCTAAGGAGAAAGATATTAAGTTCTTTCGAATCAGCTCATCGTCATAATGTTATGTGGAGAAGAATTCATCAGTTGCATTCACTCTTTCTCACGAACTTTCAACTTTAACTAAAACCTTGAATTGAATTCAACAATCTCAGTTCTACATATGGTACGTTCTGGCGAGGACGGTAAGAGTAGAGTTTGTTGACAGCAATTTTTCAAACTATCTCGGGTGATTGATTGCAAAATGAGTGTAAAATCTCCCCATGTATAGACACAAGTGAACTCGGCTGATTTGGGGTAAGAGTTAGAGCTAAGCATAGTGTGGTTTCCTCCGTAAAATCATCAAAAATGTTATACCGGTAACGTTTTCCGAATCATGATCGAGCTATCAAGTGCCCTTGGAACTCCGAGGCTAAAAAGAAAACTTGGGATTAGATCTCATACTGCCGTCCGTCAAAAAAAAAAAAAAAAAAAAAAGAAACCAAGTCAGAAAAGACAAAAACAAGAAAAAACAAAAAACAAAAAAAACAAAAGAAGCAGAAGAAGAATTTCACTAGCCATAACTCAGCGTGAATCTTTCAAAATGTCGAAGTCGTTTCCTTCAAAAAACACGAAGCATAATCGAGAACGACGTAGAACAAATATTTTGTAGAGTATTGACTCCCACTATTTTCTTGTTTTTGGAAAGCTGACACCTCTAAGAGCTTCACCCTTCCACTTTTAATCAGAATTATAAAACTGTGACCTCCAAGCAAAGGGAATAACCCATCTCTTTGTTTGCTGACCGAGCTTAAAATTTTCTATCATTCTTTTCCTTGTTGTTCACACGAGACTTTCTATTACTGACTTCTTGGATTGGAATTCGATTCTGCTTAATGGGGGTTAGGCTCATTTTCTTAAACTACACGCTCAAAAACAATCTGAGACGTTTTGTTGTTTTTTTTAAAATTTTACATCTGCCGGCCTGGTTAAGAAAAAATTCCGTGACATCAACAAATATTGTATGGCTTCAGTCACAAAAAGTGTTTCAAGGTGATTCGTTTTTTAACGCTTGAACATTATTAGAATATATAAAGCTCTGTTTTTTAAAAAAAAAAAATTTAAATATTTTGACAACGTTTCAACGTTGCCTCACGTCATTCATTAGCAAGTCACTGGTGAAAATAAGAGTTGAATGCACATAAGGTAGTATGAAAATAAAGAGAATGTTTTATGTTTCTGTGATGTAGTTCGTAAAGGCGAAATGGTAATTAAGTGTCGGGTAAAGAGCTCAGCACAAATCGAGTCAACAGTTTATAATCTCTTGAATCAACCCTGATTAAAAAAAAAAACAGCTAGTAGATCAAAATGTTAAACTTACTGGCGCTTTTCTTACAACTCAACGGAATGAGATCGATGGCTCGTTTTTGTCTAGACCATAACGTCGTCATAATAAGTTTTACGATGGTGGAATGAGGATGCCCACGTCACTTAATTTTTCTAAATCACTTTGACCCAGGACAATGCCGCTCTTTGGTATTCAAGCCCGCTAAAGCATTTGATGGTCAACGCTTAAAAAACCACGTGATTCGAGTTGAAGACGTCAGTGAGAGAGACTTTTGTGGGATACTTTGTTACATGGAGCCATACTGTGTCAGTTATAATCTTGGAAAACAACCACGTGCAGATGATGGAAGGTATACATGTGAACTGAATAATGCTACTCACGAGGGAAACAAAGACGACCTGGTTGAGGATCAAAGTTACATTTTTGGAGGTGCAGAGGTAAGTGCCAATTCAACTTTTAATTAACCGATGGTCAAGTGGACAAAAGTAACGACTTGCAACTATATCTTTTCTTCTTTCTTTTACCTTGTTGCTTTCGTTGGCTTTTGCTGCAATTCCAAGTTTTTGCCCTGTACTTTAGTACTTAATTTTGACAAGAATAACCTTTATGAGTCGACAATATCAGGTTGTAGGTGGTATCTAGACCATTCTAGCTTATAAATTTTTTTGATCGGGGAGAGAATAGCATCAGAGAGCTGCTTCTTTCAAATGTTACTCTTATTTACGTTCATATGTAAGCAGAATTTACAGAAGATAAAGCTGGGAATTGCCTTGAGACCTGAAATGAACAAACAATCTAAATTGGTCTAACGTGCTCTTATCTGCATTATGGAATCTATGGATGTCTTTCTTAACAGCTCCATGCGGATCTCAAATTACATAGCTCCGAGGATATTATCATTATCATCATCAGCATTGTCATCGTCATCATCATCATCATCATATTCATATTACTGTCATTATAGTGTTATCATTTTCATTATTGTTGTTTTGTATATTATCACATTATATCAGTTATACGAATAATTTTTTTCATCATTTTCCTCGCTTTCTTCACGGTAGAGTGCTTGTATCACAAATCCTTGCAAGAACAACGCCAAATGTCAAAGCGGTTTTACTGATAAAGGTTACCGGTGTATGTGTCCAGTTGGATACAAAGGTTTGACTTGCGACGAAGGTAAACGTGAATTATTTTCAGAATACGCATTTTCTCCTCTTTAAGATCTTAAGTGTAAGCCGATCTTCATTGAAACACAATGTTCGGATTGATAACAGTTTCAACTATGAAACATCAAATTAATTTACTTTCAGATATTGACGAATGTGCCACACGAGAGCACAGCTGCAGTGCTGATGGTGTGTGCAGCAACGTGAAGGGATCGTACAAATGTGGATGTAAACCTGGTTATTCTGGAGACGGACGGACTTGCAAAGGTACTGCAATAAAATTTCAGTTGTTTAATAAAGAGCTCTATGGACTGCTAAGTTCTTTTTGTATCGGCATATTTTTTATGAGGTAAAATAACGCTACCAACAACGTAACACGATGAATTAATATTATGTATATTTAGATATCGACGAGTGTGCTTCAGGAACACACAACTGCAGTGTTGATGCTGTGTGCAATAATACCGGGGGATCGTACAACTGTTCATGTAAATATGGTTATTTTGGAGATGGAAGAACTTGCAAAGGTGAGTTTGGTTATATCGATTTATTTATATCAATTTAAAAAGATGTTAGATGGTGTTTATTACACCCATTTTGAAATCACTGGTGGTCCCTGTAATCCGATTGGCTCTAATTGATGCGATTTATTCACGAATCGCACCATTTTTTGCTTTAAATCGCATCTTTTTCCCAGCCAATGAGAAGGCCACTACCAATCAGATTTCAAGGCTTTTTTAAAGAAAACAATCAAATTGCAGGAAAATGAAAGAAAAAGAGTATCGTGGCAAATTTTGCAACTTTTGTTTCCAAAACTGTTATTCCCCCCCTCCACCCCAATAAATGGATGAATCAAATTTCAAACCGGCTCAGTACTGCATCAATAAAATATTTGAATTGACCAAGTCCTGTATTTGGGCAATTTCAAAATGGATGTTATAAAGTGGTAATTGAACCTCGTGTCGAGCAATTTTGGTCTGAAATCGTACTTGTGATTTTGGAATTACGCGTGTGATTTCAGCCCAAATTTCACTTCACTCAGTTTAATTACCATTATAAATCAGTGTAAGGTCACTCATAGGTTTATCAGAGATTTGGAGGAAATTTCTGAATAAAAAAAAATTAATTATGATTTTAACAGAGCTAAAGGTGCACCTGTCAAGTAAATCCTAAAGAAATTACTCTGCCTCAGTTGCAAATTCATGCCAGTTGATATTCTCTTATCTATGGTAATTAAATCCCAAGGTTTTGTTAATTGACTTGGATAACTCTATCAGTAATACAATTCTTAAAATATATCAGCAGAATTCCTCCAATAATTAAAATAGGCAGGTTACTGAGGCTGTGTACTTACGTGACGAAGAATAACGAAGTTGTAAAGCTGAATTTGTGGATAACTAGACGTTGTTTTTTCGCTTAGGAAATTTTTTTCCGACTGTACTAGAACAATCGGTTCAAATTTACTCAGAGTTAAAAGTAAAACTACGTATATGAGCATGATAACTTTCCTCAGTTATCGCGAAATCTGTAATATTGTTTGACAGCTTTTGTGACTTCTTTTTTTTGTAGCTACGATCTCAAGTTGCAAGGAAGCTTATGAGAGCAAAATGTAAGTGCTATATCAGGGAGTGAATGCTTAACTTAATCTTGGAACGAGAGTTGAAAAAAATTAAAGAAAAGAACGTTATTTTTCTCAAATTCGATTCCGTTGCAGTTTTTACTTTCACTTTATTTTGCAACTTAAGACCTATCTTAAAAGTATTATATCAAACTGGCAAGAATTTTTTGATCCATTGAATTTGAACAACTGTTTTATCTTTGATAGACTAAGTGGGAGTGGCGTTGTTACGCTCCACATCGGCTCAAAACCAACTTCCGTTTTCTGTCAAGTGGGAGATGTAGAATGTGGAAATGGAACATGGACCCTTGTTATGAAGACTGATGGCAGTAAGGTATTTAATCCTTTACTCCTTTGATTTCTTGCTTGGGTATCAAAGGAAATTATTAAAAGATTTGTGTTATTGTTTGTACATCTTCAAAAATTTTAAGATCAACATCACACCAACATGTTTGCGTTTCATACCTCATTGCAACATATTTGTGGTCTCCTTCAAGCTCAAGGTGATATCGGAGGTAGCTAGCCATTTAAGGTTGCTTTGCGGCAAAGTGGCTATTTCAAGTATTTTGAACGGCTAAAAAGTCGTAATATAACTAGTTATAAATCATTTTGGATGGATGACTTATCTACATTGTGAATAGGCAACTATGACGCGACCTTGAGCCTTACTGTTCAATGAATCGTTAAAAATGGCCGATTTTTTTAATTAATAATTGCTTTTCAAGGAGATAAAACTCCTGCTACCCTCTCAGCCTTCAGATTTCATTTAAGACAGTTGTGTCCATCGAGTTCTCTTATTGGTCGTTGAGTGTGAACGATTTTATCTTCTTTTATTTCTATTTATTGAAAATTTCGTCTATTCCCGGTCAGCGAACTTTCCATTACGATTCCGATTATTGGAGAAACAAGATAGAATACAATCTTCCTGGAGGAGAGACAGGGTTTGACACAGTGGAGACCAAGTTACCAACCTACTGGAGCACATCATTCTCCAAGATCTGTCTCGGTATGAAGATCGACCAACAGCTCAGATTCATCGTTATTAATATGGAAGCCGACTCTCTGTACTCACTGATCGCTGACGGACAATACCGCCCAACAGTTTTGGGTCGTGACACATGGAGGTCTCTGATTGGTCCAAAGGCCTCCTCGCAGATCTACTGTAATAGAGAGGGGTTCAATCTTTACCCATTGACAGCTTTTTGGGAGTTTAAGGCTCCTAAGGCAAGGATCGGTTTCGTCACCAACAATGCAAATAACTGTAAAGATGTTGATACTAGAATCGGGTTTGGTACAGGAGGGCCACATGATGACAACAACACGTGTGGAATCGTTGCAGACAGAAGCCATCTTGATAATGGGAAGCAGTTCATTAAAGCCATGGGATACATCTTGGTACAGTAATAGGAAAAAAGTGCACATGCACTGAGTGATGAACAACATCATCATCACTACCTTCACTTACAAAAATAACAGTGCTAACCAAAATATGAAGGCATACATCAATACATAATAGTTATTTGTTCAGAGTATCAAACACACTTATATAACACTTTAATTTGTGCCAAGTAATATTCAGAAGATGCTCTTACTGGAAATAAGTGTATCATGATGAGACTAGCAGATGTACATACTGATAGCTAGCAGTTACTCGAGTTACAAGTCAACAGAATAAAATCTTCTTGTAGGCCCTAAAAGAGGCAGGTTTTAACGTGTTCATTATTGAATTCTTAATAAAAAGCGAAAAGAATAAATCATAACTATCATACATGAATTCACCAAAACTCATTTTCTCTCGGTGCTCATGATATGTAATTGTGATGAACTTTATACATGTTAGCGAGAAAAAATAAAAAATAAGAAGAATTAAACGATTATGAAGTATTTCTATTTCCACTTCTATACAATCAGGGGCAAGATAATTTTGTTTGGAAATTATGTATGATTCTGATTGGGTGAAGGGAGTTTGTTACCCTGGAAAGGTAAATTGGAACAGACTCCCCTCAACAGGTGTCAACCACTACCGGCACCATACAAACGACTCATCCACGACATTAACATTACAAACGAAGCGAACAGAACGACCTAACTTTATTAACGGATCGAGACTGACCAATCACGACCGACCTACGCCACTTGGGTCTTACAGCCAATAGCATCATGGCAAAACTGACCAATCAGTTTATACAAACCGGACTAAGAACATTCGACTGACAACAACTATTCACTTGACTCTGAAGATGACTTCCGCTCAGGTTGTCGAAACGTCAGTTATATTTATTCAAAAATGGCCAAAGTTGCTGAACGTTTTATAAATCAGTGTACGTGTAAAGTGTTCCAAAGTGTTGGAGTGCAGAAAGCTAGTCTTTTGAGCATAACTGGCGGCTGAGGCCGAATGAACTTAAAGTGGGTGATCAGAAGAGCGAGGAGAAAGAACTGGCTATTGGGAATGAACAAACAAAGTTTGGAGAGGGCAATGAGTTTTATAGCCAATAGTACGCTGTATCTTCGAAATATTAACAACTTATACTTTATTTTAATTTTTTTAGCATTCTTCAGTTAATTCATATAATTCTTCTTTAAAATAATAATAATATTGTTAAATAATAAGTGCTATGGAATATTGCGTGATGGAGAGGCACGCCAGCCGGTATACGGAATAAAAGAAAAAGAAGTCACGTATAAATATTCCTTTAACACAGATCTTTCTTTGCGGCGAACCATATTGGATAGTCAGGGCTCGGATCGTGCGTGTTATGATTCCCTGACTTTTTAAAAACACTCACACTTTTCTTTTTTTATACAAAGTCATCTCGTTTACTACTTAATTTCAATCCTCTACACTTTTGCTATTGTTTTTGCTGATGGATGGTGTATTTTTTTCGGTTCTCACTAAAAGTTCGGAGCACATGTTAATCGTTTAAACCTCGTTTTTTCTATAATAAAAGACCAAAGCTAATTCTCAAGAAAAAAAAATGTCAATAGTAGCCGTACTAGAACTGGCGTTTTAGATCGTTGAGCATACTAAATTTGAAGTCGTATAAAGATGGAAAGCAGGGTCTGAGTTTTCGGGAGTCTGATCAGGGAGTCCTTAGGGAGGAATAATGATTAAGAAATTCAACTCGAAGTTCAACTTGAGCCGATCTAACTCGAGGTCTTACTCAAGTCCAACTAGAACTTGAACTCGAACCAGAAAGGCGAAAGGGGGGGAGGTGGTATTACAAGATAATGGATTTTATCACATAAACTGCGGTGTTATACAGGGATTTCCGGCCCTGAGAAGAGCCGAAACAACATACGTTAAAAAATACCGTATTTTTCACGTGGTTGATATAGCTAATCAGCTGCTGACACGTCACTCGCCTTTGGCGTCACTCGGTCAGGTTGATAAATGAACGACAAAGTCTTCACGATTCTCAATATAAGTTGTTTGTCTGAGCTTTATCGAATTATGGCGGCTAAAACACTAAAAAATCCGTATCGCTGACAGACTGTGAGCTTCAAACTTCAGTGGCTTTGGTGTTGGCATTTCTTTCGAATGAGAATGAAAATCGACAACTAGAAGATTTGCCATTGGCCGATTTTGGTCGTTTACCTGAAAGACTTCTTCTGTCGATGAGAACAAAGTCAATGAATGAGAATTTTGTAAATTGAAAATTACGACTATGGTTGTTTTTTCGACGCATTTTTCCATCTTAAGAGTTAGCGCCAACGCACTCTACGATTGTTATTCGGGGATTGTCGATTCATTTATTTTCATTCATTAATTAAGTTTGCTTTTCTTCTCACTTCCCATCGCTTGATTGCTTAATTACAAGTTTTATTTGATGTGATCGAAAGGATTTATTACACCTTAAATCGAAACGTGTTGTAATAATGCATTTAAAGCTTCTCTAAAACAAAAAATCGCCGATGATTTCAATGTAAATTTAAATCGTAATTGTAATAAAATCAAATGAAATATTATCCGATCGCTACACTCTACGCCTACTTGGGGTGCTTTCTAATCCCGACTCACGCCCTTAATTTCGAAGGCTGTAGATTTTCGATTTACCTTTTCTTTGTCCTGTTCTCTCCACATCTCCTCTTCTCTCCGCCTCCCTCTTTCTTACTCCACATTTAAGTACAATTCCGTACCAGTAGATTTTATTGAGAAAAATGATAAAATTAATTACTTAATCAAGAGACTAGAGATGCATAATAATTGTTTGTGTTTTTACTCATGCACAATTTAAGCATGAAAAGAGGTTTTTCAGGTGTTTCGGTTACACCTTTCTATGATTCTCACTCATAAAATACATCAATTTTCAAAGTGGTCAAACAGTTTCCCAAGAAGGCTACCCAAAGATAACATTTTGTGCGTTATTTCACTCACAACGTGTCCCTCTTTATTTGCTAATTTTACAACGCTTAGAAGAAAAATTAATTAATATGGAATATAAGTGCTTTTACCACGAGAATCAATTACTTTCTCTTTCACTTCTGCAAACAAAGTTTCTTATCTACTAATGGATTACATAAAGGGATTTGACATCTTCCAGCTGCTTTATCAGAGACTTTTTGGTAATCAGTAGACGCTATTGGTCTGCGTCGTTGTGGTCGGAATGAATCTCCGGAAAAAATACAATAAAATGATCGCTATTTTATAAAAAATTAACAAAGAACCATAGACAGCAAGTAAGTTGTTTTGAAAAGGAGTCACGTCGAAGGATTGAATCCACCTGACTTTGAGCCCTGTCTTAGCTATATCTCAGATCTGTTTGCGGTGAAACCCCACAAGGTAAGTATTGTTCTTACTGAGAATTGCCAGGATTGACGATGATTCTTTCATGACCTGTAAAACATGGTCTTGATCTTGCATTTTTGATGTGAGTGTCTTGATTAGAAATGATAAAATAAAAAGAGATGAAAATAAGAAAAATAAAATAAAAAGAGACCTATGGAACAACTTTATTTTAATGAGTTTGCTTAACCATAGATTCTTCATTTATTTCTTTATCTCTACTCGGATAAAAGAACGTCTGAATTCTTGAGATAAAACATGTTGCGGCAACTGAGGCCACTTATCTTGGAGACTGGGTGATTTGGCGACCTCGGCAACAGGCAAATAAAAGAAATTTAGGAAATGAATTTAAAGTGAGACAAAAAGTACATTAGAACGTTTTGTTGCCGTTTGGTAACTACTCTGTAGCAACAAAGAAGCAAGAAAGATGTAGCGTGTCATCATTATTATTGTGTAGTCTTGGTTTGTATTTTCTTTTCCTTTGGAACACCATCGTGCTGTGTTTCAGGAATGCTTAAAATTAAACTTTTCCTTGGAGGTATTTGCACGCAGCTTTATCCCGAGATCAAGTGTAACTTTCAATACGTCTCCCTAAAGTATATTTGTTCTTAAACATTTTTCTTGCTTCAAAAAGAAGAAGAAAAAACCAAAAAACGAAGCAAAACAAAATCTTTCAGATTTTCTTGAACTTTGAAGTAACTGCCGGCTTATTTCGGGGAATTCCTTTCAACTGGTCAGAGGTCTTTTGCTTATAGAGGAGCGAAACTGTGGAACTCATTAAGCAACAATCTTAAGAGTTTGGAGTGTCCCAAGAAATTTAAGCGTCAATTTACTTAACGCTATTAGGTTGACTTCATCAGTTGATACTTTTATTCTTTTGACATATATATTTAGCTGTAACTATAGATTTATATTCTTTAATTTTAGTTTTATTTCTTTTAACCATTTGTATTGATGCTGAAGACCCATTGAGGGAGCTTCAATAAAGATAGGTATGTATCTGTCTGTCTGTTTGACTTTTTTTTATTTGTCAAAATATCCAGACGAAGTACTTTAAAAGAAGTATGCTGTGGACATTTCTTCATTTAAGAATCCTCCTTTTCACCTCTGCAACGGAACTAGTTACAGCAAATGATCAATGCAGGACAGAATGGAACATACAGGGCATGGCTCTTAAACGTTCTGTCTTCATACGGTGGTCAGTGGAAGCTCCTCATCTCTGCGATGCCAAATGTGGACGAGAGATCTCGTGCCAAAGCTATAACTATAATAGAGAATTCAAAATATGTGAACTGAATAACCGCACCAAGGAGGCAAGACCAGATAATTTCATTTCGGCCCCTAAATGGTCTTATGTCCGACGATTGAACGGCAGAGGTTAGTAATAAGAATTTTTTTAATATATATCTCGGCTTTTGCCACCCGTTTCAATCGTATCCATCTTTGGTCATTCTTGATCCGTCTTCCCAATTAAAAGTCGCAAAAATCGTTAAATGAAATGAATAAAAAAGAAAAGTTTTGTTACTGCAGCTCCATTGGGTTCTATCCCTGAACTACCAGCGTCGTCATGTCATGAAATAAAGGCAAGTGAAGGTAAAGACGCCATCAGCAGCAGGTACTGGCTGGATCTAACTGGAAATAAAAGGGCAGTAATGATTTACTGTGATATGACTAACGAAGATAGGTTTTTGATAATATTTCATGGGTAACTTTTTGTCTGTTTCTTTCAATACATTTCGCATTGTTGTCTCTAAATTCCTCGTGGGCCATCCTCAATGTGGATACATTTCTTGTATCTTTCTTTTTCTAATCAATGCATCCTTTTACATTTACATTTACCTATATCATCTTGCAGCGTCTATAACAGACATATTTGCCAGCTCCTAACTAATAACTAAAGCACTACAACTAGGAAATATAAAAATTGGAAAAAAATATATATATACATCCTAAACATGTGGATGAAAGACCTGGGCGGACTTGCAAATGCAGATTTGACTCTATCTTCTGCAAATGAGTGCCTTTCTGACTAAATAGAAGAAGAATCACGAATTTGAATCAAACCTCTCTGCTATGAATAAAAACCGAAATAGCAATTTGCAAAGTCTAAGTTTCCGTTGTAAACAACAACATCAAAAACAAAAACAAAAAAAATGGAAGTTGCAAAAGATCTTTACCGATACATTTGTCCCAGCTGTTGTGTTTTATGGATTTATAGTTTCATGTGACTTATTGTTGATCTACTTTCGCAAATGAATGGATTCGAGCAGAAACGTGCACAATTTTCCTTTGTATTCGCAAAATTTGACCAGGCTCTGAGAGTTTTTAAGGGAAACAAAGTCAATATGGCGTATTTTCAGATGTTGACGAATGTGTCGCAGGAAAGCAAAACTGTAGTGCTAATGCTGTGTGCAGCAACGTGAACCGATCTTACACGTGTGAATGTAAAACTGGATATTCTGGAAACGGATGGACTTGCAAAGGTAATGCGGTAAAACATTGCGAGCTAAATAAAGATATCACATGACCCGTACAGCCCCGCGCGCGCAAGCCCATCAGGAAAATCATTGTAAAAGCTGAAGTGTGTAGGTCGCAAAAAGTAAAAACAAGAAAAGAGAAAAAAGAGTCGCGTTTTTCGATGAAATATGTGTTTTTACTCTTCTGACTCGAAAAGACGAAGGAAAGGTGGTTTTCCCGCACCCGCCAATTGCGTACTATCTAAGTTGAAATCAAATGTTTGAAATTTTCAACACTAAGTGGTCATATGACTAATTATTGACTGAGATCTCTCGGGCCGGACGGGAAAATATTTGGCTCGCTGCCATAGCCCACGAAGCTCGCTGCGATCGGTCCTACATGTACGCGTACGTCCTGACATAGAGCCAATTTTTTTTTACGTCCGGCTCTCCCACTCAGTCAATAAGTACATATTATATATTGCTTCATTCCATGTTATCAGTTTATTTGTTTAGGGTTTTAAGTGCTAATGACAACGTAACATGATTAGTTATGACATGCATATTCAGATATCAACGAGTGTGCTACAGGAACACACGACTGCAGCGTCGATGCTGTTTGCAACAATATCAAGGGATCGTACAATTGTGTATGTAAACCTGGATATTATGGAGATGGAATTACTTGCCAAGGTAAATTTGGCTTTAATCTAAGTTTCCTAAGTAACACGGTGCATTAATAACTAATCTAAAATTATCTTAATCAACTTGGAAATATATAGTTTTGCAAAATTTAAATAAAGATAACATGCCCATAAAGCAGTTTGGAGAGCATCATTTCAAGTCAGCAAATTTTTTGCTAGCTCCCACCACTATACGGTAACTGGCGTTTCTACTATGATTCCTATCAAGGTGGATGGATTGAAGGAGGGAAGGATGGGCAGTTCCCCCAACTATAAGTTTGATTATCTTCGAAACATACTGGTTTGATTAAAAACAGTTTAACCTATATATAAAGATACGAATGAGATTGTAAACCTTAATAATTTGGAAATGGATAAACTAGCAAATGTGATACAGTAAAATATCACAGGATAAATAAAGATCCTTATGGACAGACAAAATCCATGTTATTAGTATGTTGCTTTTAAGTTAAATTTAATGCTATCTACAACCTTGATTAATGACATGCATATTAAGATTTCGACGAGTGTTCTACAGGAAAACACTCCTGTAGCGCTGATGCCTTCTGCAACAATACCAAGGGATCGTACAACTGCACATGCAAACTTGGATATTTCGGAGATGGACGAACTTGCAAAGGTGAGTTTGGCTGTATATATTATAACTTTCATCGGTGATAGTGTTTCTTTATAAGTCGGAAAAGGGTCACCCATCACTTTAGCCGCCGGAACAGACGAGGAAATTCCTGAGTCACTTAATGTAAATCATGACAGGAAGAAAACGGCGTGCACTGTAAGTACCTTCCGTTGTCCCGCATAAATTCTTTTTATGAAGGGACAGCAGGAGGTAACTGCGATGCGCGCGGTTTCCATCCTGTCATAATCATATCAAGAGAGCCATAGTTTCTTTCGTGTCCTACTAGAGAGCTTTGCACACGACCCCTGGCCGGTTAATTTTGCGGTGTTCTTATTGAGGTTGCGTACTCTTGAAGGCCCATTTCCATCCAGTAAAAAATTTTATCGGGGAGGTAACAGGGACTCCTGGAAGAACACTCGCGGATAACACTTGGATAACACCATCCTACTGCAGAAACTTAGGTTGGGTCAATCGGCCCTTTAAAGACTTAATTAAGAATTCTATGAGACAGCTTGAGATGATTTATTTGTACCAACGTTGAAAAAACACAGCATTTCCATATATAAAAAAAGTTCGGTAAGCTTCATTTTAAGTCGGCAAATTCATTGCCATTCAGCAAACTTAAAAAGTAGCTGGGGTCCTCTCTGAGACCCGTATCGATGTACAAAGAGTAAGGATTGAAGAATGGCAGTATTGTAAACTATTCTGTGAATACCCGATTTCCCCTCAAAAACTTAGTTGTAAATTTGATTTTTAACGAAACGCAATGGTGTAACTAATAATAGTACCAGCTACGAAACCCCAATGATGTATTTTCAGATATTGGAAAGCGTAACTGCAGTTTCAGCTCTGTTGCATTTTTAGTGTAGTATAATTTCACATGTTTTAAATTTACGGAAAGTTGAAATAAAAATACGTATGAGCGTAATAACTTTCCTCCATGATCAATTTATCTTTGACATCGTTTACAGTACTTGTGACTTCTTTTTTCGTAGTTACGATCTCAAGCTGCAAAGAAGCTTATGAAAGAAAAATGTAAGAGCAATATTAGGAATTTAATAGTTAACTTAATCTTGTAACAAGAATCACAAATATTAAAGGAATATACTTCATTATTCTCAAAGTTAATTCTGATGCTATACGTTTTTTATTTGGCTACTAAAGACTTAGTTGATTTATTTAAACTGCCTTCTATCTTTTATTTACTTTGATAGACTAAGCGGGAGTGGCGTTGTTACACTCCACATCGGCTCAATACCGACTTCCGTTTATTGTCTGGTGGGAGATGTTGAATGTGGAAATGGAACATGGACCCTTGTTATGATGGTTGCTGATGGCAGTAAGGTATTTATTCCTTTACTCTTTATATTTTTATTTCTTGCTTGGGTAACAAGAACAGATTTTCTAAAAAAAATGTTTTATTGTTTGTGCATCTTCAAAGTTTTTAAGCTCTATTTTTGGAGATCATGATTTGACTTCCTTTTTTAATAGTTCGCAACCAATGTTAGCCATGATTTTCCTTGTTGACGCGCACACCAACATGCTTGCGTTTTCAAACCTCATTGCAATCATCATTGCGGTCTCCTTCAAGCCAAGGGTAATGTTGGAGGTTTCAAGCTATTCCAGATTATTGTATGGTAGTTCAGTTAAAGGGTAACTGACGGCAAATTTTCCCCCTTTTTTCTCTACCCTAATACATTCCTCCAAGGTTAAAAAATCTTAAATGAAATTAAAAAAAACAAATTTTCGACAAATTTTTTAACGCTTAATCAACGGCCATTTTGAAAACGTTCCAATTCAGGTCGCGTGATGTGGTACATCACATGTAAGTAAGACAGTGAAAAAGGTCATGTTAAGATATGAAAGTAACAACTTCGGCCTCGCTGTCCAGCTGACACCGTAATTCGCGAGCGGAAAAAAAAAAAAAAAAAAGATTTGTTCCGTTTTGTTTCAAGCCTCCATTTAGAGACTATTGAATACGAAGTAAGGAATACAATACTTTATCTAAAAAGGTTGAATAATCGAAAGGTGACAGATCCCGTATCTGTATTCAGGGCCACAGGTAAACTGCATGCCATGCCATTCAGTGGTTAAAAAAAATGAATTTTCCTCTTGACCATCATAGAGTCCGTTACCCATAGAAATATGTTTTATTCCAAATCAAAAAGCGTTTATCGAAAGATTTTGCTCGGTGTATATCACTGTTTCATCAAGCCCACCGGTTCTGGAGCGAGCGTGAAATAAGCGCAATGTGTTTTAACGAAGGCTGGTGAGCAGCGCAAAGGAAGCCTTCTTGCTGTCGTAACTTTTTGTTTATTTTTTCCGACGCGTTTCGTATCTAGCTCAGCCTTCTTCAGGGATGATTACAACTAACATTGAACAGCATATATAGCATATTCTTGTGCCTAAGTTTGACTTCCACTGGAAGTGAATAATGTCAGAAACACGCTGTAAACCGACCTTAGAACAATAAGGCGTACACGCTGTTTTCAAGTCGGTGACCACGCTAAGATCTCAGTTAGCACGATCAAAAGATTCCGACCAAAAGATTGCCGCATTAACAGGATTCCCTGTGAATGCAGCAAGGTGTACATCAGAGAGACTGGAAGACCTATGCAAGACAGAATAAAGGAGCACGATCGAGACATCCGACTCGCGCGGACCGAGACCTCCGCCGTTTTAGAACATGCTCACAACACCGAACACAAGCCACTCGGGAGCAAAGTAAATTTTATTGATCGTGACCCTTATTACTACACGCGCAGAGTCAAAGAGGCAATTCATATAAGACTAGCAGCATCAATAGGAATAGTGGAATAGAAATTCCAGCGGAGCGGATGCCCACGATCAAAAAACACAACAACAGGAGAGCCGTGCGACAGCGGACCGCCGAGTGAGCAAGTCACTGAGTGAAACAGCAAGGATCGAAATGCACCAATCAGAGCTGTTGAAAAACAATTAATCACAGCAGAACATCATGCTTATAAGATCCTGCATGACCAGTCGACCTCATCGCCTGAAGAAGACTAGCAGTATGCAGTCGAAACGTCGCGATCTACATCACACGTGACTACATCGTGAGACAAACGAAAAAACTTAGCTTTTATTGTTATTCACCACGATGAATAACCACAACCTTTTTTACAAGCACGAAGTGTTTTTCAAATTACGACCTGAACCTTACAAAATATATATTTTCACGCTCAAGTTATCCAAACTGTTCCACTTCTGGCGGCTTTGACATTAATAATATGAACGGAAAGCAAAAGGATTTCGAGCGAAGAAAACGAAAACCGGGGAAGCGCTGTCTAGTGATATTCCGTAACAAAACAAGTGCAGACGGGGTTAGCCCTCGCCTGTTTCCAGATGGTGAAAGTGTGCAGCGACAGTGGATTGCATTTGTTCGAACAAAAAGAGAACCTAATAGTTGGATATCAGGTTCGGGTCACATTTGTCGCGACGATTTCTCAGCTGACAACTACCAAGGAATCGGTGAAAAAATAAGTGGATTTAGCTCTAAGCCAGTATTAAAGAATTCCGCAGTTCCTTCTATTAAAGCGTCTCCAATTCCTGGCTGCTGCACTATGCATCTAGTTCTGCTTGCAGCTGTTCCACTGTAACAGCCTCCAAATTTTATTTTTCACAACATCTTCCTCTTGAGAGCAGATGTCTTTCTTCCTCCCTCCACATTGATTGGCAGTTTCCACACTAACACCTTGTAATAAAAAAAATCAGCACAGTAGCAATTTCTATCACGATGTTAAATAGAAGAAATAGAGAACCCAAGTTGCTTGATTGTTTTCACCAAAAATTACCTGTTATCAGCCCTGTAACTGTCAAAAACGTGAGAGATTACTTAAATTTTAGGCTGTAAACCAGGTAAAAAGACCGCAAAGGGGAAAACTAATTTTACAATAAGTTAATATTAAGAGGATGTTCAATTCTACATGTGCGAATGCTATATTTTGTCGCATTGTGTTTCACAATAAAAGCCGAGAAATCTTTAATCGTGCGCCTAATTCAATGGAAGGAAACTTAAAACCGATACAAACGTGTTGAAACGTGTAGAATTTGGAGACTACTCTCAAAAACGAATCCGTCTAATGCACCTTTACCAGCGTGTATTTTTTTATATTTTCACAGACCTCGAAAGGTGCGCGCGTGTAGCGTAAAAGCACTTCGCTCCCATGGAATTCAAGAGTCTGCACATTTGGTTTTCTTTACTTGATGGCTCCTATACTTAATAGGAGACTGATTTTCAGATACTTTATTTACAAGCGTAATGCATTCCCCATTCGTCGCTTTGTTGATTGAGGCGGCCGCAGCGCCCGGGCTCTTGGTCCACCTCTGATTCTTGCGCTCTATTTTCGGTTCGTTTAAGCGGTTCAAATCGCGAGGGCCTGATTTAACCAACAGGCTCATAAGCCCTTTTATTATTTTCAATTCCCATCGAGGCCCCAAAATCCGAATGATTAGACCCCGAAATCGAGCTGCTCTCACTCGAAGTACTATCCGCCATGTATACTTTGCTTAGTGTCCACACGTGTGACGTATCAGGTCACACGATCACATTCGAGGCCTTTATTGTGGAGGACTCACGAAGCTGCATTTAGGACAGTTTTCCGAATGAAAAAAGGCACAAAGAGGCGTTCGAAGTACCGTGTGTCTGTTTTAATATGTTACCTGAGGTAATTAGATAGTATTATGAAAAAGTGACCTTTTAGCCGTCAGTTACCCTTTAACATGGCTATTTTAACTATTGGAGCAATTATTGGAGCAACAAGAGTTGTCCGTTATGTGCGACTGATTTTTCATCTTTTTTGTCTCTTAAACAATAATTTTCTTTTATTCCCGATCAGCGAACTTTTCATTACGATTCCCATTATTGGAGCAACAAGATAGAATACAATCTTCCTGGAGGAGAGACAGGGTTTGACACAATGGAGACCAGGTTACCGACCTACTGGAACACATCCTTCTCTAAGATCTGTCTCGCTATGAAGATCGACCAACAGCTCAGGTTCATTGTCATCAATATGGAGGCCGACTCTCTATACTCACTGATCGCTGATGGACAATACCGCCCGACTTCTTTGAGTCGTGACACATGGAGGTCCCTGATTGGTCCAAAGGCCTCCTCCCAGATTTACTGTAACAGAGAGGGATTCAATATTTACTCACTGAAATCTTTTTGGGAATTTAAGGCTGCTAGAGCAAGGATCGGTTTTGTCACCAACAATGCAAATAACTGCGATGATGTTGATACCAGAATCGGGTTTGGTACAGGAGGGCCATATGATGACAACAACCCGTGTGGAATCGTTGCAGACAAAAGCGGTCTTGATAATGGTTCGCAGTTCATTAAAGCCATGGGGTACATCTTAGTGCAGTGACGAGCGAAAACTGTACATACAGTAATAAACAAAGTCAACATCACCAACTTCATCAACAACACCAAGGAAAAACTTGAAAAAGGGATGCATACCTCGATACACGCTAACTATCCTCACAGAGTATCATAAACACTGACACAAAACCATCATTTATACAAAGCAATACTCAAAATATGCATTCAAAAGAAATAAGAATAAATGTTCAAAGAGAACAATATTTGGGCGCGCGTAGATATGGAATTTCTCTTCCCAAGTTCAACTCGATATCTAGCTCGGTCGCAGCCCTTACTCCTGAGATATCGAGTTGAACGCGAGATCTACCAGTAGCCATGCATTATTTCAATCTATTATATAAACAGCGCAGGCTTTTACTGGCAAGAAAAGTCGCCGACTTTTTAAATGAATACTAGTGAAAAAAAAATCACAATCTGCAGAGTGGCTCGGAGGTTAAGTGACTTGTTAACAGCCGATGGCGATATCAAACATACATAAAAGTTATCGTAGTTTTACACGAGTGCAGTTGCGGCTTTTAGTATAGGGCTGAAAATCCTTCTAAAACAACACATTTTTTTACGCAATGAATATCAATTACTAGCAATATATCGAGTGACGAGTTGAAAGTTTTCCAGGCCCTGATCATGACAGAGTCAGTTTGAACTTTTCCATTGATTGAACGCTTAACGTAGAGTATAACGAAGAGAACTTAGGAAGCGGTTGGAGCAATCAAGAAGTGCGGAGAAACACGAGACGTAGTCGAGTGTTTCTCCCTACACTTTTGTGCTCGAACCGCTTCTTGCGTGCTTTGCAACAGAACAAAACACAGTCAAGGCTCTCTATTTGTTAATCAACGCTCAGTTAGAAAGACAGTTGTAACTAAACAGGACACATGCACTGCATGATTCAGCAAGCAAATTGACAGTAAAAGTTGTATAAATGGATATCTCAAAAATATCCTTTGTTTGTCTTTGTCGTCGAGTTAATTCAATCCTTTTCGAAACAGAGAGGTTTACGTTATGCGTCTGGGCACTCAGTAAATGTCTACAAATGCCTCTGTTATGAAGATCGAGTGGAAAAATACAGTAAAATGGGAAGTTCAACATTTTTTAATGTTTTTATTTTTTTTTTTTTTGTAGCTATTATAAAATGTTCAGAGAAGTGCGCGCGCCGTGATTGGTCAGAACGAGTTCATTATATTTCTATAAAGCACGCACCTTAAGTCACAAGAGTGCGATGTTGAGATATAATGCACGAAGCTTACGTTATCCGTCCGAGCGCGCACAATTCACAATACATTTTACTAAAAGAAATAAAAAAACTTGTTCCTCGAGCATTGTTGAGTTATATAAGCACTTGAGAATTTTTAAAAACACTCAAGGGGTGCGAAAAGGCGAGTGCTTCTCGGCACTTTTCTCGTGTTCTTAAAAATTCTCGCGTGCTTATAGAACTCAACAATGCACTCGGTGCGTTTTTTTATTTCTTTGAGAACATTGTTTCGAAAACGATTTTGGCGAAAAAATAAAAGGCACAAACAGCAATTTTTGAGACAGTGCTAAAATCAAGGAAATATTTTATTCGTCAGCCGGGAGGTCCGCCGCCTACGGCCTCGGGCGGTACTCAAGATATCGGGCAAAATTTTTCCCAATACGGACCAATCTAGGCTGAATAACATTTTTATTTTTTTTCCTTAATACTTAACGAAAATATCTCCAAAAGAACCGGAATGAGTTAGGGCTGTAATAACAGCAAGATTTACCATAAACGAAACAATTTTGAGCGAGCAAATGGTACTTAAAATAGAGGTAATGCAAATTAAAGAGAGAAGCGTCACCGAAACATTTTCATTTCCGTAATGATAAAGAAAGAAAAACGCAAGTACACTTAAAAAAAAAAACAACGGAACTAGTTTGGCAAGGACTGTCGCGACAATGTTTTCTTCAAGAGCAGTCAATGATCTTACGGAAAGTATCATTCGCTGTCATCGACGTTTAAGAATGTTCGAAGATTTATCTCTGTTCAGTTAGTAAATGGCAAGGAAAGTAATTGTAAGTGAATTCAAATTTTCATTTTGAAGTTGTGAGAGTTTGCTCGTTTGTATACTGCAATGGTGTGTGTAAATCTGGTCTTTTCTCCACAAAAGCTAAATTCGAATTAGACACTTCAATTAGACACAAGAGGATTTAATGTGGCTTTTTCTCATTGAATTCCTAAATGTTAAAATTGAACAGACTTGGAAAAACGCACCGAAAGCGTCTTTGTAGTAGTAGAATACTTTGCTCGCGTTTTAACTGCAAACAAATTGTTTGGGAGAGTTTAGATATTAAAAGAATGAAAGTTCTATTAATTAACTGATTCAATTGTAACCAAATTCCTCAAGTTTTAGATTTCCAGGTACTTTTTGTGACGGATTAAATTTAATTACAGACAGGTTTTTAAGGCCGCTTGTTAACCAATCTTACGAAACTTTTGCTTATACAAATTCATTTCGAGACCAATATTTTTCTGTAAACCAAAGTGATTGGAGAGAGAAAAAAGAGAGGATTAATAAGTTATTTATCTACTTGAGGTAGAGACCGACGTCTCTTCGTAAAAATAATGCTCAGCCGGCAAAACGAGATATTTTTTTTATGAAAAATGGCAACGAAGGTAGGAATCTACTCAGCGACTCACGAAAGCGTTACCGTTGCCCGTGGGCAGAGAAAGGAAAATACGGACCGTGCTAAGAACCAATCAGGTTGCACGATTCGTTACCGTGCCCTCTCAGAAAAAAAAAAAAAAAGATTATCATCATTATCATCATTGTGATTCTCGATGTTGTAACTATTAGTATCATGATTATCATGATTATCATCAATATCATGAGTCAGCGTAGAGTTGTGTGGAGAAATTTCTCCCGTTGAATATAGAGCCATACAGTGATGTAATATTTCATATTACCAGTTCAATGTTTATGAGGTCAAATGCTACCGAAATCCTTCCACGATATAATGAATAATCTACATATGTAGATATCGATGAGTGTTTCATTGGAACACATAACTGCAGTGCTGATTCTGCGTGCAACAATACCAAAGGATCGTGCAACAGCATTTAGGTAAAGGTATTTCTGACGAAATCGGAGAGGGTTCACAAATACAATATGCTAGACCTACGAGAAAGTTCTGAGTTATGGAGTATCATTGACTATTTGCACTGCTTCACAGTGGATTCCTCGGAGATGTCCCAGTTAAGTGCCGCGCGCGGCTAATTTTTTTCCACAATATTTAAATTCCTACAATGGTGTAAGGGGTGGGGGAAGGAGGAGTGGAGAGTGGGTTAAACCCATGATTTAGTAGGCTTCAAACCCAGAGGCTCTAAGGTGTTATCAAAGATGGCGTTCAAAAAAAAAACTTTTTGTAATGTAAAACTGCAAAAGTTTGTTTGCACGTCTACGCTCTAAAATCAAATTTTGTCTCAATAGATCTGCATGTTCAAAAGTCATATTCATTGCTCATGTTACCCTTTAAATAAGGAAAAATCTCAAAAAACCGGAATGATAAAAAATATTTACTCCGCTCAAGTTCGGAAGATTTCGAAGATATTTGAATTGACTCTGACCATTTGGCATTCTGTTCTTCCAAGACATTTGAGCTCTTCAAAACTAAATAGTTGCATTGAGAACTGAACAAGGCCTGTTATCAAATTAATGCAACAAATGTTCCAGTTGATGATGTCAATACTAAAGAATAAGTAAATATTTTATAACTCAAGGGATGTGTCGTTGCTTTGATTGTAATATGCTTAGGCACTCGCTTTATATCAATTTTTTCTTTTTTCTGCAGTTGCGGTTTTTTAACTTTAAGGAAGCTGACAAACAAATGTAAGTGCTATATTTTGAAATAAACGACAAAGCTCATCTCGCATCGAGTGTTAAAGATTTTAAGGAGGGGAAAGATGATCCTAGTTTAATTTAATCCTGTTATTTTATTGATTTAGCGACTGATTTCCTATTTTTTAAATCGTTTACCTTCGATAAACTGAGCGTCTTCGTTACGCTCCATATCGACTGAACACCAACTCCCGTTATCTGTCACGGGGATGTAGGATGTGGGAATGGAATATGGACCTCTGCTATCAAGATTGATGGCAACAAGATCTCTTTTAAGCTTTTGTTAAAGAAGCTATTGAGATAACTTGGTTAATATAAGGGAGCTTTGAAAGATTTGGCTTAAAGATAGCAAGTTCGTAACATGCCTTTCGTTTACATCTCCCCAACCTCAACCGCACTTTTTCCTTGCTGGGTTTTCAGCCATCGCATTTGTTTCATTTTGCTTTTTACCTTCTTATAATTAAATATTAATTTCGTGGTCTCCTTTAAACTGAAGATAGATTTGAAAGCCATGGACAAAAGAAAACAAAAGAAGGAGTATTCCGTTTAATTTTTTTAATGAAAATCTAAGGGAGTTTTTTTTTATTTTCACGTAACTGCCACCAAAGAAAATCAATATTAAGCAAAGATTTTTCCAATGAAACATTTTTTTATGTCTTTTTTTTCGACGGGATTTAGCGTTTGTTGATAGTTTTGCATTATGCGGAAAATAATTTCACGGGGCCTATGAATTGCAGGGAACAGAGAAAAAGCTTCTTTCTTTTCACTTTTTTTTGGTTTTTAGTCTTGTGATAGCCAAACTAATAACAAATAATTTGTAGTAGAACATTTAAATTTTCAGAAAATGTAACAGATATGGATTTCATCGGATCTTAGGTTTTTCTCATATGCTTAGACGAAAAATAGCATCACCAGTATTTATAACTTTTTCGATTATAATGTTAACAATATCATATCGTTTTCAATTAACTTCGAGTTAAAGTTCAATTGTAAAAATGCATGGAGGTTATCAATTTCCACAACAGAGTTGTGATATTCAAAATGAATAGTTCTGAATGCTTTTGCAACAAATTTATTATCATTTTTGTTTATTAAGCCATTGTTGAGAATGAATGCCTTTAGAGTAAGACATCTG